GCCTTTTTAACATTCAGTTTGAGAAGGGTTTGGTGTTGGTAATGGAAGTCAGTGCTGGCAGATGTGGTTTGTGTCTTTGAATCAGATGAGTGCCTTCCACCCTGGGTAATGGCAAACGGTCAGACCGAGGGTCTAGAAACAGAATCAAGACGCTTCAGTGTTACCAGCAGAACTCTATTTTCATTCTTTTCCTGCTTAGTTCACTTGCTGTTTGATCAATTATGTATATTAAATAGGCATGGTCCTTAATTTTATACACCATGGCATGCGTTGTTGGACGAGTTCTCAAAAGCCTGTGTGACATCACCGAATGTGGTTTTCTTTGTGCTTCTTCAGTTTTAGAGCAGTTTTTGCTGATATTTTCAATGACTTTTTGCATGTGCAGAAGACATTCCTTTTCTCTAGCTCGTCTCTCAGAACAACCAGTCAGTTTTTCACATGCACCTAGAAATGTAAGTAACTGACATGAAAAACATGGCATATCCATTAGTATGCTGGATGTGGGATTAGAGGAATTCTGATGCACAACAAACTATTTCTCAAATGAAATCTCAACCTGAGCAAAGTGGAAATGGTGATAGAGTTGTGGCTTTTGCTGAATTTTCTGTGAGGATTGTTTAGCTTGGAGATACTCTTAATCTTTCTTTAATTCTCTTCAACACCAAAATATTGGTATTAAAAGGAGAAAAAAATCTGAACCAGTCCAAAAGGGGTTTGACCAACAAGTCTGTGCTGTTAGCCTGCAGTTCACATCATGGACCCACGTGGTTCTCACTGTTGGTGTAACATGGCAGTCTGTTGTCTTTGGTGTTTCTTGTAAGGCATCAAAACAGTGCTTGAGAGATCAGATGGGAGATTCCCCTTCCTGCTTTATGGTGGGAGCTGTGAGTGTGTTTGGTGCTGCACTTAAAGCTCATTAAAGATAATAGCATCTTGTGTTGTTTTGCAATACTTAATTATAGGATTCGACTCCAAGCAAGACTGTATTTGACTTCTTCCCTCCTGGCATCTGAGCACACTGATCTCACTAGGAATTACCAGTTGCTGTGGAGTCCCGTTAGTATTTTGGTTAACAGCAGCGATTGGAGTGCGGGCACTGCGGGTTGTTTGGGGATGTCTTGGTCTGTCAGTAGTATTAAGTACAGGCAAACAAAGGTGGTTATTGTTTGTCACCTGAACTCCGAACCGAGCAGCACTGCAGTGTTGATATTGACCAGTTATCTGGCCACTGAGAGCAGTGTGAGCTCTGTGCCTATTGCAGTGCTTAATGCTGTGTGGCTACTGCAGGTGGTACAGGCAGGTAATGCTCTTGCTCCCCTGTCTACAGCATGCATAAATAGCTTTTAAATATGGCTCCTCCTCCCCTTTCCTCTAAGTGGCAAGGCAGATGTTCCTGCATTCCTCTCTCGACCTTTGTTGCTGTGGGCAGGTAGCTGTTTTTCTGTCTCTTTCTTTCATTCAGTTTCCTTTGCATCTTTCTTTTGCAATTCCTGAAATGGCCATGCACATATATTAAGTTCTGCCCTTCATTTATTCTTTTGTCATTGTTTCCATTTCACTTTCCCTGTGTTTCATTCCTGTATCTTTCTTGTTTAGACCAAGTGGAGGATCCAGCTGGCCGTAGCAGCCATGTAGGACCCTTCAGGAACCTGATGGTAAGTGCACGTGTGTACTTATACTCAGGCTTCCACCAGGTTCTGTACTGTGAGGAGCTGTTTTCCCTCCTGCAGGCTTCTGTCAGTTCTTGATGTCTTAAACTGCAAGAAAATTGTGGGGCAGACCTTTGGTTAATTCCTTGTTGATACTTTGATATCAGAATTGCAGGTAGAGGTTTTCATTGGAATTATGCAGGGAGAAAGTATGTCAGTCTTTCATGGTTATGTGAATTTTAAAAGCACTTTGAGAGCTCTCATGATGGAAAGTCTATCAAAAGCCACTGGGTATCTTCAGAAGATCCTGAACTCTGGTGAGTTTGAAAGCTAAGAAGGCATACCACGAGGATATGCTCTTCTTCAGTTCTCTGCCTGGACATCTGCTGTTGAATATGGTTAGGATCATAGGGTGGATCCATCTGGGACAGTCCCTGCTGTGCTTGAGTATAGGACACTTCTGATCTTTGTAGGGAAAACTGCAAACTACAAGCCAACAGGCTAAAACTAATGACAGGAAAACAGCAGAAACTGTGTGCTATCCCTGGCTGATGTGTCAGCAACTGAACTGGCACATCTGATAAATGTATGCAGGCATTTTGCTCACTATAAAGGTGAACAGATGCCAAATGAAACTTCTCTTCAAATGCATTTGGACCTAAAGGCCAATAGCTTGAAATATGTCTGACAGTATCAGTGAATAGGTTACTTTTTTATTTTTTTCCTTCTTAGGAGTGTGCCAAGGTATCTTGCAAATGGTCTTTTTCCCATCAATAGGATAAGAAAGTATGCTACCTAAATAAACTCCATTTTGGTTAAAAATCCTGATACTCTGATGACTTCCCAGATAATAATTCAAAGTGCTGTAAATTTTGCATTCTATAAATGGAGAACACTTTGGAAAACCTGTTTGCTTTGGTACTTCAGAGTGATTTTTGTTGTTGTTGCTTTTGTGTATCTTGCATTTTGAAGAGCACACTTTCCCTTTCATCTTGCTGTGAGAAGGAGCTGCTCTTGGTTTGCAGGCTCTGACAGTAACCTGTCACCATGCTGAATATGGAGGCTGCTGTAGAATCAGACTGTATTGTTGCCAGTGATTTCATCTCCATACCATCCCCAGCTGAACCATCTTGTGAGGCTGCTTCTAGCTGTGGCCAGGCTTGGCAAAGGTGAGAGCTGCATCCAGGCCTTTTTGGTTGAGTCAAGACGTAGATATTAGTCTTGAAATGACAAGTGCTCTGCAATAAAACAGAGCTCTTAGGGAGTTTGAATAGCTGAATACGTGTTTTTGTTATGTGGCTCTTAACATGGTGATGCAGTGTTGATTCCATAGGATTATACTGCAGTTCAACACTTAGACCTTTTACCTAGAAGTAGAATGCTTGTTGCTTCTGTTGCTGTACAGGTCAAGAACAGTTTTGGGCAGCTTGGTGGATACTTCTGGAGAAGTGTCTGAATTTCTTGCTCAGATCTTGGTACTGCATGTTGAAGTTACAAATAGCTGAGGTGTCCTTAGCATCAAATTGTGTTCATATCAGACCAAATCAGATGCAGTTGGGCTTAAACTGCTCGTGGCTGTGTGAACTGCTGACAGCTTGAAACCATTTGGTGTTGGAGCCTTGTATTGCCTTGTCAGGTAAATCAGAATTTGCTCCTTTTGGAAAGGTTTGACGTGAACTGATAGAATGTTTGCGGATATTATGGGATAATTGCTAGAACTGCCTAGGAAGAGTGCATGCCTGTTTTCCAAAGGTGACAAAAATGTGTTCTGAATGACTGTAATATCAGTTTCCGAGACTGAAAACTCTTAAACTGGTAAAAGGGAAACGAAGAAAAAAAGGGTAATTACACACATGAATCTGAAAAGCCCTGTGGAATTTGGGGAGCGCCTGTGAAACTTGAGCTCCTTGGAAGGAAATGAAGGTAATTATTTGGATGATGTAGAAGGTTCAAATAAAAACAAGTATTTCCTTTTAAAGCTGACCTGTCTCAGTTCTATAGGAGGGGGTGCATACTTGGAAAATTTGGGTTGGAATAGAGAGGAATTTTTTTAAAAGGCATTTCAGACTTTTGGCCTATAGTGTGAAAAATATTTCAAGAAAAAAAGGAGGAACTTGTTGATGGGGTTATGAATTGGAATAACATGCTTCTAAATAAGAGATGAATTTATGGCTGTAATTCTGACTTGAGAAGAGGGGTCACTGTGTTAGCGTGGTATTCTGTGTGTTAGAGGGAGCAACGGAGACATTTGGATGGCTGCTTCTGGAGAATTCTTGTTCCTAGGAGGTGGATGTGTGGAAGTGTGAAGTTCCAGATGAGTGGTGCTTTCAGCGCATGCTTACACGTGGAAGTTCACTGCAATGACTTGAGTTCGAGGATTTTGGCTTCATTTGTGCTTCCAGTCCTTGCCATCAGTTCCAAAGATTGCAGAACAGAATCTTTAGGAGCGGGATCAAAAAGATAGTGTTACAACTTTGTAGCACATACATGGGTGAAGTTCTGAATGTCTCTGCGTGTTGCATCACAGATCAGGTCTTTGCGCAACGCCATTTTACTCTAATCTTCATTGTGTTCATTATCTCATGCAACTCTAACACAGTTCCCAGTTTTGTGATCCGAGAGTGTCAGCAAGCTTGGTTGTGTCAGTGGACGTGGTGCTACACCCTTGGTTTGCTGTTATCCAGTTCCATCCCATTTGTTTACTGCCTTTGCTGTGTTGGCCAACATCATGCTTATACTTCATTTCTTTGATTATACCTCCTCTCCATGTCATAATTCAGAATGTTTGCACAGGTTTAGAAGCCTCTGTGAGCTTCTGTTTGGTGCAGCCTTCCAATTAACACTAAAGAATAATAATGCAATTTCCACACACTTGTATGAAATACAGTAATCTCGCTGATGGAAGGTAATTAATGACTATGACTTGAGCTGCTTAACTCTGTCACAATAGATCTCCTTTGTGGTCTGTGCTTGTTTGTAAGATATTTTGGAGTATTGGCTTTTTAGAGTCTCACGATTAACTTCTTTCAGGCCCTAGAGACTTACTACCTTATCAATACATAGTCACAGATTAGACATCAAAATTAAACGTGCAGATGGGTAATTTCTTCTAGGTCATCTTTTTCTGCTTCTTTTGTTCTGTACTTGGCCTTAGCACTTTTTGCCCTGTGGTCAGTGTGTTTTCTGAGTGTTCTTCTTCCCTGCAATGTCATTTGAGTTCCTGAAGAAAAAAGAGTTTCTACAGAAGTATGTTGTACTCCAAGGCTGGGTGTTTTAATTTGCCAGTCAGATACGAAAAATAAAAATTGCTCAACAGGAATAATGCATATTTGTTGTTTGTTTTTCTTTCAGGAAAGAAAAAGACTCAGGAAAGTAAAAACAAGGGGAGGAAGGCAACAGATACAAAGCAGAAAAAGACTGATTTGGATTCTTCGGCAGATATGAGGGATTCTAAAGAGGGTGAGAGTTCTCAAGTATCTAATTGTTTTCTTTCCCATTATCTTCTTCAATCAAAGCACAAGTTTTATCATGTTTAATAAGCTAACGCGTTATGCTAAAGCAGGAAAGTGAACAATGTTTATGTTTACCCAAACAGTTCAATTATCAGTCAATTTGGATGTCAGAACTTTGTCAATAAGGCAACTCTGCAATTGGAAAACACAGCTACTGTGAAATGTCTGTGCCCAGACCCCTTTGAACAGAGAAGACCTTATTCAAAAATGTCTTTAGAGCTTATAGCTGTAATAATGACTGTATAAGAAAGATCAGTGTTACAAGGGAAAAATATAGTAATAATGCATAGAATAGCTAAGCATACCGTTTGTCCTGAAGGTGATCTGAAAAGATTATGTATAAAATTATGCTGTTTACATATTATGTATGTAAAAATGACTTAGATGTGTTTTGAATGCGTGGGTTTTTTTGTTTTACAATCATGGAAAACTTGCCTTTGCTGTGGGTGTAACTGGTAATGGTTAAGGCTCTGTATAGGTACATAGATATTACATAGATAGATATATTTTTTCCAAACTTACTTAACTTTTTTGACCCATTTCTTCACTCTGTGTTCTCTTCTGCTTGCACACTGCGTGCACTGTTTTACTGCTGATGTCTGATGCTCTAGCTAGGGAAGGGAGATGAACTTCCTGCTCCATACTCAAGGCTGCTTCAGAAACTCTGTGAGTTGGCAGAAAGAAATACTTTCTTCAGAAATGGATATATCTGACAACAGATAAATAAAATTGGCACACAAAGGTGTGAATAAACAACCAGTTTACACTGATCACTGGGATGCATGCAGGCAGATTCAGAAGTGTAGGGAATAGCTATTCAGGCAATGGCTAATAGAGAAATTTCATAGACTGGAAAGCACCATGCCAGATCTAAGTTACGCCTTGTCATGCATTACAGTGTAAGTCCAGATTGTTGCATTGTGCACCAAGTTAGTAATAACTTTGGGGAAAAGCCCAAAATACTTTAGCTATGTGTACTGCTGTGCTTTTCTGACACTCTTTTAATGAAAGAAAAACCTGTGAAGGTTTTTCAGACATTTCTTTAAATGTTCTGAAGTCTGCTATTTTATATATATTCTTTGGCCTTGATGTTCAATCCTAAGATCTCACCGTGTTAAGAATCAGCAGTTGTTTACATTTTCCTGAAGTTTCAGAAAGGAAATTCCTGAGTATGGTTTTGTTTGTTATGGAATCACAGTGGTGAGAAGGAGAAGTATTATGGGAGTTGTAGAGTATTGACTTCTACTGTGTAAAAGGTAGAAGAACGGTGTAATGTACTTCAGGGTGTTTGATCAAAATGTTTCATGCTTTTCCTACTTCATATATCAGGTCATAAAGAAGAAGATGAAAAGCCTTCCGTTTCTGCTGTATTGTCCCTGGAACAAACAGCTGTGATTCAGGAGATGGTAAATCAAGATGTGCTTCCAAAGCTGATGATTCCCAGTCCTGCCAGTGAACTGCAAATAGTGACCGAAGAGAAACAAGAAGAAGCAATAAACTGTGCATCAGATGATTTAGATGAGGATGAAGAAGAAGAGGATGAAGAAGAGGAAGAAGAGGAGATGGAAGATACCAATATGCCTAAAGAAAATGCTGAAATGCCTTTGATATGTGAAGAAAAGTTAGACTCTATGGAAGAGCAAAAGAGTACATCAGAGGAATCTCCAGAAAGCTCTCCAAAGAAACTGGTGGTGAAAATTCCAAAAGCAAGAGGTGAGTCAAACGGTGATGTTCAGGAAACATTCATGTATCCTTGTCAGCATTGTGAGAGGAAGTTTACAACAAAGCAAGGACTTGAACGCCACATGCACATTCATATATCTACTGTTAACCACGCTTTCAAATGTCGATACTGTGGGAAAGCCTTTGGTACTCAAATTAACAGACGAAGGCATGAGCGGCGCCATGAGGCAGGGCCAAAAAGGAAACCGTTCTTAACACTAACATCATCACAGCACCTGGATAATGTTGCTGATAACCAAGTAATTGTGAGTGATGGTCTTAAAGATGACTTGAACGTTTCCAATCTTGTACAAGACTCCGTTGTCTTGGATTCTGAGAAAGTCTCCCAGGAAATGTCCCACTCTGCTTTCGCTGAGGAGAACAAGGAGCCCAAAGAATTGCATCCATGCAAATACTGCAAAAAGGTTTTTGGAACTCACACCAACATGCGGAGACATCAGCGCAGGGTTCATGAGCGGCATCTTATTCCCAAAGGTGTCAGGAGAAAAGGATACTTTCATGAAGAGCCACCGCTTCAAACTGAGCAGGCCCCACCAGTGCAGAGTGTATATATAGCAAGTACTGAAATAGAAGAGGAAGGTGAAATAGATGATGTCTACATTATGGATATTTCCAGCAATATTTCTGAAAACTTAAATTATTACATTGATGGTAAAATTCAGTCCAACAGCAGCACTAGCAATTGTGATGTGATTCAGATGGAGTCCAACTCTGCAGACTTGTATGGACTAAATTGTATCATCAGTCCAGTCACGGTGGAAATTTCCTCAAATATAAAGATTACACAAACACAGGTGAATGAACCTCCTAAGGAGCCTTCTGGCAGCGGGAGCAATGAATCCAAAAAGAGGAGAACTGCCAGCCCTCCTCTTGTACCAAAAATAAAAACTGAGATAGAAGCAGAACCTGTAACTCCTACTAGTTCTTTAAATCTTCCTCTTAGCATTTCAACAGAGAGCTTACCTTTCCATAAAGACAAAAGCGTGTATTTGTCATCAAAATTAAAACAGCTTCTTCAGACGCAGGACAGTAAGAAGATCACTCCATCAAGTGAAATCCCTAAACTGGGACCTTCTGTTGCATCATCATCTATTTTGCCTCCAGTATCCAGTAGATTTAAAAGAAGGACCAGCTCTCCTCCCAGTTCTCCACAGCACAGTCCAGTACTTCGAGATTTTGTCAAATCAGGTGAGGGAAAAACTGTGTGGAATGATAATCTTCGAAGTTCAAAAATGCCAAAGTTAGAAAGCCACAGCAACTCACCTGCTTGGAGCCTAACTGGAAGGGAGGAGAGGGAGGCTGTGAGCCCTCTTTGCTTCGAAGACTTCAAAACATCAAAAGACTGGACAGTGGCTCCAACTTTTGGCAATGTATGCAACCAGCAGCCCCTGGATTTGTCTAGTGGTGTAAAACAAAGGTCTGATATCAAAAATAAGCATCAGGTTCCTTGGGAATCTGTATTAGATTTAAGTGTGCACAAGAAGCCTTGCAGTGATGCTGAAATTCGGGAATACAAAGAAAATTCCATTCAACCAACCTGCAGTGGTGTTAAAAAGAAGAAACCAACCACTTGCATGCTACAGAAGGTTCTGCTGAATGAGTATAATGGAATGGATGCAGCCACAGACAGCACACCCAGTGTGAACAGAAGCCCGAGCCCAAGCAAATCCCTGGAATCTCAGGCAGAACCAGACACAGACCCAAGTCTGTCTGCATCGTCTTCTGTTGATACTCAGCCCCTTAGTTCCTCTGTTCCCCTTGTGCCACACGCATCTGTCGTACCTTCCATGTGTCAGCTGCCTCCTTTGTTAACACCAACTAATCCTCCTTCCCCACCACCCTGCCCGCCTGTGCTCACAGTTGCTACATCACCTCCTCCCCTTCTTCCAACAATGCCTTTATCAACTCCAGATGTCTCTGCTAGTGCCACTAACACTTCCTCTTGCCCGTCGCCACTTTCAAACACTACTACCCAGTCTCCACTACCAGTTCTTTCACCTACGGTTTCTCCTTCTCCATCTCCGGTTCCTTCAGTTGAACCTCTCATTTCTGCTGCTTCACCTGGTCCTCCTACTCTCTCTTCTTCCTCTTCTTCCTCTTCCTCCTCCTCCTCCTTCTCTTCCTCCTCTTCCTCATCATCTCCATCTCCTCCTCCCCTTTCAGTGGTTTCTTCCGTTGTTTCTTCAGCTGATAACCTTGAAAATACTCTTCCAATGATAAAACAGGAGGAAACTGAAAATGAGCAGAAGGCCAGAGAAGATCCTCATGCTGCAAGTGAATCGGGAGTAGTGCAGGAAACATTCAATAAAAGCTTTGTGTGCAATGTCTGTGAATCACCTTTTCTTTCTATTAAAGACCTAACTAAGCATTTATCCGTCCATGCTGAAGAATGGCCCTTCAAATGTGAATTCTGTGTACAGCTTTTTAGGGATAAAACAGGCTTGTCAGAACATCGCTTTCTGCTTCACGGAGTAGGAAATATCTTTGCTTGCTCAGTCTGTAAAAAGGAATTTGCTTTTTTGTGCAATTTGCAACAGCATCAGCGAGATCTCCATCCAGACAAAGTGTGCACACACCATGAGTTCGAAAGCGGGACTTTGAGACCCCAGAATTTTACTGACCCCAGTAAGGCCAACATTGAGCACATGCAGAGCCTGTCAGAAGACTCTTTAGAACTTTCTAAAGAGGAGGAAGAAGACGAAGATCTAAATGATTCCTCTGAAGAGCTTTATACTACTATAAAAATAATGGCTTCTGGGGTAAAATCTAAAGATCCCGATGTTCGGATGGGCCTCAATCAACACTACCCAAGCTTTAAACCACCTCCATTTCAGTATCACCATCGAAATCCTATGGGTATCGGCGTTACTGCAACAAACTTCACTACCCACAATATCCCACAGACTTTCACTACTGCCATCCGATGCACAAAATGCGGGAAAAGTGTGGATAACATGCCTGAGTTACACAAACACATACTGGCCTGTGCATCTGCCAGTGACAAAAAGCGATACACGCCCAAAAAAAATCCAGTGCCACTGAAACAGACAGTGCAGCCTAAGAACGGCATGGTTGTCATCACTGGTCCTGGAAAGAATGCCTTCAGACGAATGGGTCAGCCAAAAAGACTCAATTTCAACGTTGAGATTAGCAAAATGTCTTCAAATAAACTAAAAATAAACGCGTTGAAAAAGAAAAACCAGCTTGTCCAGAAAGCTATCCTGCAAAAGAAGAAATCTGCTCAGCAGAAGGCAGAATTGAAAAATAGTCTTTCTGAGTCAGACCCTCACATCTGCCCCTACTGTAACAGAGAGTTTACTTACATTGGAAGTTTGAACAAACATGCGTCGTACAGCTGTCCCAAAAAACCCATCTCCCCTTCCTCCAAAAAAAAATCATCCAAAAAAGGTGCAAGTTCATCACCTGCAAACAGCGAAAAAGGCAGCAACCAGCGCAGGAGAACAGCAGATGCAGAAATCAAAATGCAAAGCATGCAGCCTCACTTGGGCAAGACAAGAGCGCGAACCTCAGGACCTGCACAGATCCAGCTGCCCTCTGCATCCTTCAAATCAAAGCAAAGCATTAAATTTGTACCTCCCATTCGATCGAAAAAGCCAAATCCGTCTTCGTCACTGAGGAACTCTAGTCCTGTGAGAGTGTCCAAAATGACTCACGTTGATGGGAAAAAAACTAAGGTGGTAGGTAAGAACACTTCCTCTGGCATCTCAAGCAAAGCCACCCGGAAATTGCACGTCAGAATACAAAGGAGTAATAAGGCTGTTTTGCCAAGTAGGTCTGCTGTGGCAAGTAAGAAAAAAGCAGACAGATTCACTGTAAAATCTAGAGAGAGGATTGGAGGACCTATTACACGAAGCTTACAGCAGGCGGCAAATGCCGAGGCAGCAGAAAGCAAAAAAGATGAAAGCAGTACAAAGCAAGAATTAAAAGATTTCAGGTAAGCTTTTAATTTGAACTTCCGACAAAACAGGAACACGTTGCTTGCTGTTTTGCCAATTTTCTTGGTCTTTTTTTTGAATTTGTCATATTTAAATCAGAAGAAGATTGCGTTTCCTAAAACGTGGTTAGCGGCTCAGTCACGTATGATGTACATATTTGATGCATTTTGTCACATTGTCATATATACATCATTTGTATAGAGAATGTCCTTAATTATAAATGGATTTGGAAATGCTGGGAAAAAATGTCAGCACTTGAGTGCAAATAAACCTAAGTCGTTAAACTTCATGTTCCTGGTGACGTGTATCTGCTATCCAGCACACGGTGGCCTGGAATGGTTCTAGGTTTAGGTGATGGTGGTTTGTTAAGCAAAAAGTCACGACTGCGTTTTTACCTTCCTATTAAAACAATTGGAAATGTTGTTTTTTTAAATAAAAAAAAAAATATATATATATATATATTCTCTGCATATCGTATTAAAAAAAAAGAAAGCATACTTCAACAACTGTATGTGCATCCTAATTGAGTCAGATCTCTAAATACTTAATATAAGGGAAATAGATGTGTAAGAAAAGTGACATGAATGTGTAAATTTTTGTTAAAAGTATCATGCTCTTATGTTTCAGTTTAAGAAAAAAAAGATTATAACTAAAGTTCTATTTCATTTTCAGATGAAGCATTTTAATCACAAGAAAGGGTAACACTTAAATAAAATAAAATCGTACTGTATGTGCCTGAGTCCCGTTTAAAGTCTTCATGTCATCTTTCAAAGTCAGCAGTCTGTTTTGCAGCCTTCAACATTTCTGTTAGCAGGCTCCTGCCCTGCTGTTCTTGTAACAGGTGTCTGATCCGCTGGGTGACTTTCACAAGACTCAGTGCTGGTTGTTTGCTTTTTGCTTTGCTGATTGCAGCCCGTGGCTGTGATTAACGGGAGGTTTGTGGCTAAAGGTAGGATTTTTGTACCAAAGCGATTGGTAGTGGAGAGGGCCCAGCCTCCTTCACAAGTGCCCACAAGCAGAATTGTCAGGAGGTGTCAAAAGCCAACTGCTTGCAGCTTGTCTGTCTTACAGTGAAGACCTGTTGTGTGACAGTTTTGAGAAAATGCTTCCTATGAAATAAAGCTTTGACACAACAGAATGATTTCAAAGAGCTGGAAGGGAAATGAAACAGTCCAAGTTAGGGCATGTTGAAGGAAAACGTCTATATATACTCCTGCAATTTGGAGAATATAATGGTGTTGAATATGCCTTTAAAGTACAAAAACTGTCAACCAGGCCTCCTCTCTTGGACAGAATAATCTTCGTGTTGCTTAATTCTGTGATCAGCTGCTCCCTTAGTGCTTTTTGTGGAACTTTTACACGGTGCCAGGACAGATCCGTAGAATTCAAAGCTGGAATGACACACCTTTCCACCCAAGCTAATCACTTGACCTTGAAGCAAAATGAGGGAGTGCTTGGAAATCTCTGCATATGGAAATTGTTTAGTAGCATTCAGGGTAAATAACGATCTACTGAGGGGCAAGGTTTCCTTGACTATCTCAAATACCATTTGTTTACTTTGGCACCTTGCAGTCTTTAACAGTTTAATGAATAGTTCTGCTAGAAGAATTCTTGCTTTTGTTTCTGAACTACTGTTCATAAATCCAGATTGTCTCATCACCACATCACCTTTGTTTTCATCTATCAAATATGGAGAGGTGTTTTGGTTTTTTGCTTTCGTACACATCTGCATAACCTTCAGTCCTACTCTATGTAGACATTTTTTTCTCCCCCAGGAAACCTCTATTCCTAATATCATTCAAGACTGCCATTGAGTGCAGTAGTTGCCTCCAAACCTGTTCTTCACCTTTCAGTTTTTCCATGTAAACATACTCCGTTTGCGAATAAGTTGTTTGGACATTTATCTTCAGATTTTTGTTTTTGTTTTTATTTTCTAGGAATATCCAGTAAAACAAAGCAAAACAAAACAAAATCTCTTAATGACATGGTAGAGCTGGTGCATGCTCAACTTAGGATAAGCACTACGACAATGGATGTGAAGTCCCCCAAGCTTGTGAAACCAGCAGAAGCTGACTCACAATCATAACATGGCCTGCAGGCTGCTTGCTAACACTCAGGGGTAGATGCAGGGCTTTGTGCCTGACATTCGTGCTGGGCTTCGTGGTGAGTCAGATGAGAGAAGGGTGCTGTTAAAAGCCAAATGGAACCAAAAACAAGAGCAAACAACACACAGCAGTGCCCCACACAAGACAAAAACCACACGCAGAAGCATTGAAAGAAAGTGGGAATAAACTAAACCAAATCTTTAGCCTTTGAATGCTTAGATCCTGGTTTTGTCCATGCCTTCGTGAATGACTTAAGAGACGGTTCAGTTCTAAGCTTGGTAAAGCAGAGATCCCCTGTTTTATCAGTAGTTTGGTAGGTTCAAGGACAGCAGTTTCTGCTGCACCCTTTCTGTCATTTAGTAACTCTGTTAAAACCTTCCTTCTAAATGCATCAGTACAGAGGGACCTGGAAGGACAGAATTTCCTTTTCCCACCTCCTCTCCATTCTCTGCATTTTTTGGATGGCCATCATATAATGGGAAAAAAAGCCTGAGTGAGTTCTCTGTGAGTTTTCCAAATTCTTATTTATACATGCAAATGAAACTTTATATAGCAGTGAAATACCAATACCAATTTCTAAATACTATATATAATGTGTATCTTTTTATTGATAAAAAGGCTAGACCAGGGCTACATACCTGTATATTTTGAAAATGAAATATATAATTACTCTAAAAGGTCCTACACCTCTATCTAATAACTTAAAACAGCATTGGTCTATTGTTCTTACACAGCTTTTTATGGAAATACCATTTCTCATGTTTATATAGCTTTCAAGATTAATGACTGAGTCGATGGGAAGTGACCAGTTTCATTATCCAGCCACCCCTTTTATTTTTTGTTCTTGACTTAAAAAAGTAATCTACCTCTTAAAATTTGTAGTTTAATACTTGTTTGGTGAATTTGTGCCACTTTAACTTTCACTTTCACTATCATTCCCATTTTGTTACATTTCTGTTATGAGGACTTTATGTTGAAATAATGTATAAAGCATTTGTAGCAAGTATAAAAAAAATAAAATATTTAAAATTATTTAAATTGTTTTGGACACTTCAATTGTACTATATGTGATTTACATTTTACATTAATTTTCATTCTGTTTTCATCTTGGGCTGTTAATCTTGGAGCGTGTTCCTGTATTAAAAGTTTGCTGTTAGTCATATTGTTTCTTTTTTTTTTTTCTTTTTCTTTTTCCTTTTTGGAGAGTGATTCAAAGAGTATTCTAATGAAAACATTAAAAATTGCAATTTGACAACAAGTGGGTCCTCATTGCTTTTGAACATTGTAGCCTTGGTGAAGAGCCTGTAAGTGCAGGTAAGCAACAGGGGATGTTTCTCCTCCAGCATGCAGTACATCCTGTAATTTGCAGATGTGTTCAAGGATATCTGTTGTGTTGCAAGCACTTAATGGCCAGCTAGATGGAACTACTATGACACGTTTTATATAAGTGTAACCAATAAAGTGAGCTTTTTAAAAACTTTGTGGGAAAACTTACTTCTTATATGGAAACCAGATGTGCCAGGCAAAATGGAGCAGTGTACATCTAGAAGGAATTAAGTATGCTTGCATCCTTGGGCTTTCTGCACCGAAACGAATCTGTACAAGTCTAACACTTCTGAGTTAGTCCTTGATGTTCTTTCCTGTGGATTTAGTTAATTTAAAAGTTTAATTAACACTGCAAGCACCATTTGATAACTTTTTCTGTTCTCTGTGCTTAATAGTTGTGATGTAACTTAGTTCAAAATCAGTTCTGGCTCGGAAGATTTTAGAAAGTTGCATTCCAGCACCAAGAGGAATTACAGCTTGTGTCGTCCTCCAGCAGTGGGGCCAGAAGGATCCTTGGCCATGTTAGTGTGGAGCTGGATGGAGTAAAGTCACACTGCTGCGACTTAGCACTATTACACGAGCCCATTTCTCTCCAGTTGTAAGTTCATACCTTATGTAGTCGTTTATTCTCATTCATAGTTCTGTTTCACCTCTGAAACAGCTTGTTGCGTTTTCTTGTAAGTCATTCTCTTCAGATGTTATCTTCTCTGCAGTGAAGTTTTCCCTGAATTTTAATTATTAGGGAAAACTCTGGTGAAGCAGTGCAGAAGTTGGACATTATTCATTGAGTGTTTTTGCAAGCACATCTGCTCTGTGGTTATGGATGCTGCAGTTTAATGGTGGCAAAGATGGTTAAGAGATTCTAGCTAGAAGTGTAACGTGCAGCAGCAGTTATGAGGCTGTAGGACAGCCACAATGAAGGTGATGAGTATTGGTTAGGCTTCACTATATTTACCAGAATGGAAACGTTATGTTTGACATACCATCAGATCTGGTTATTTTATAAGAGTTGAGAAGCATGAGAAGAAGTAAAAATTCCCCCATAGTTTTGAAGTTACTGAAGATGCAGTGCTGAGTAGTTACCACGTTTATCACACCTTCCACTGCTGACAACTGAAACACCAACTGCAGTCTCAGTGTTCTCATCACCTCTTTGTGATGGCTGACATTGAACTGATCACAAATAAACCTGCGTTCTCCCCTCGTTGCTTGATATTACAGCAGAAATCCCATTGCCATTGGCTTTTCTGTTTTTCTCCTGTGATTTCAAGTCCTGCTGTGTGCCCACTCTGCCATGGTCTGCAGCGTGTTCACACACAGCAGTGAATTGAAGTATCTGTCCTCCAAAATGAGAGCTTGTGAACAGCCTTAGAGAGCTTGGAAGAGCTTGCCTATTAATTCCAGCTTCTGTCTGCTGAGTGGGAGCTGTGTGAGTCACACGGTAGTCTACTGTTATTCATAATGAGAATGAAATAAGAGATGAGTTCTGAACTTGCTGTTATGGATCTGAGCTTTGTGGTAAGTGACCTATGAAAAAGAGGTAAACTTTCACATCCTTTATATGACTA